TCTTCATTTAGATTTATTTATGAAAATTTATATGGTTGTCCCACTCACTCTCAGGACTCAAAGTGATGCAAAGTTCATGTGTAAATTAAGCAAACCTGCATGCCACATTTGTTCAGTTTAAGATATGATGTAACTGGTGCATAATGTATCACATGCATTCATCCCAAATAATGAAGAGCAGTACTTCAGTTTCAAACCAATTATCTAAGGATATATTGCTAGAATGATGTAAATATGATAATACTGTATTTCAGAGTGAAGGAGCCTACCTTGCTTGCCAATAATGGCTTAATTTACAATACATATAGCATTGGGATTTAAGGAGAATTAATTTCCAGAGATTTAATGTGAGCCCCAGTCAGAAATATAGAATCCTGCTACAAAGGAACTAAAAATAACAATAGCATTTAGACATACTGCTTTATAGTGCTTTACAGCACTCACTGAGAGGTTTACAGGCAGCAATCTGGATCCTCATTTTACTGACTTTGGAAGGATGGAAAGCTGAGCCAACCTTCAGCTCTTCAGGATCAGACTCCAGACAGTGGGTAGAGTTATCTGCAATACTACATTCTAATCACTGCGCTACCAGTGCTCATTATAAAATAAGGTCTAGTTTGGCACAAATTAAACAATGTTTAATTATTTTCCTTCGGGTTTTGTGAGTGTAAGGCCTAGTACAATCTCTTAATGATAAAGGAAATTGAATATAATTTGGATATAATCCCCTTCTGAACTGAGACTCACTTGTGGCAAATGAGCCAGGCAATTTACAAATATTATCATTTTTCTGTTGAGGATTTTCTTTTAACAAATCAGAATAATTGCCTGGCAACAGGGATGGTATTTTGGGCCATGAACTTGCTTTTCTGCCATTTGACTCAGAAAGTGGATTTTCCCTGGGTTTGCTTTTTCTCCCCTTTTGGTTTCACCTGGATGTTACCTTGTCATCTTCACATTAGAAATATCTTTGTTTGAATATGCTTGTATTCTGACTCCCAGGGAGGTCTGCCTTTTTGAACAATTCGTATTTGTCTTTATCAGCATACATAGATAGCATGAATGTTAGAAGGCTTTTCATCTTAGGACAACAAGTGGCTTGTTACAAATGGTTTCCACACAATTCATGTAGCTTTTACCGTGAATGGAATACTCCTTGTGGAATATTGAAAAGGGAATGAGGCGGGGTGAAATCAACTTACCTTTGCTACTGGTTCGCAAATGTGAGTGCGCACATGAGCGGAAGGTCAAAATAGGCACGATGATGATGTCCAGGTGGGTGGGTGGAGCCTCCTGGCACCACCGCTACCACTTCACCTGAACCAGATAGAATCAGCTGAATTGCACCACTTGAATGAGGGGTTCTAAGGCTCCAGTATATTCTGAAATTAAACTTATTATTAAACAATAGTCCCTCCGTTGGCAATATTTTTCAAATGCTGCAGGTGTGAATAATCGCATATTTGATATAACTTCAGACTTGAGTAACTAAAGGCATCCATGTGAAGATTTGACTCCATCTTGCAAAATCAAAACATAATTTTCTATGGGCAATTTCACAGTTCCTTTGTTCCTGATGTGTAGGACAGAGGTGAACATTTTATACACAGAACGGCCTACAGGCCCTGAATCAGAAGTGAAACCCAGCAGGTTCTGGAGAATAGGTAGCAGAAATTTTGAGTAGTTCGGAGAATCATCAAATGCTACTTCTGGCTAGCACCAGAGTAGGGTGGAAATGGAGATTTTGCAGTATCCTTCCCCTGTCACACCCACCAAGCCACACCATGCCCACAGAACCAGAAGTAAAAAAAAAAAATGAATTTCACCACTGCCCAGAATCTTCTTGTCACTTTCCTGGTACCCATTTGGGTCAAGACATCTGAAAACTGATGGTCCTGTTTTCTCACCCCTTTGATACGATGGACAGACGAAAGCTAGCATTTTGCAATTAAAAACAAAGACTATATAAAGAGCTGTGTGGATAACCTTGGGAGACAGGGGGAAGATCCTCAGCCCAGACTGCAATCTGATGAGAGACATCTGAGTCCAAATGAGGAATGGGGATGGAAAAAGCATTTCAGGAAGGACCCTCCCTAGTCCTCAGAAAAATAAAGGCAGGGGAGGGGGGTAAGGCCTTTCAGACTTGAGAATTCTGTATTATAATAAGGTAGTATTAGTACTCATGGTCTGTGTTTCCTGTCTGGACAACCTCAAAGGGTTGATAAGACTCACCCAATTTCTCCCCAACCTCCCTTGTGTGATAACCCTGCCCATTTTGCATCTCACTTCCTCTCTCCCCTTTATTAGTGTAGCTCTTGGCTACCAAAATGTTCCCCACTAAAGCAACAGAAAATCAGGCAATATTTTGTGTTAAGACATTAATATTTTCCCACTCTTTAAAATGCAACAATCAGATGATGCCTTGGCAGCCCTTTCCCATTCCTACCACTCTTTTGGGAAAATACCAAGCAGATGCACAGAACTTGCAATAATGATAAGTGGAGGTAGAAGAACATTAACTGAATGCTGCTATTAGCAGTCTCCAACCCAGTCAGATGGAGGGAGCTATGATTGATTTTTTTTTTTTTTTAGAATTTTATTAACATTTATAGGCCGCCCTTTTCCCTGAGGGGACTCAGGGNTTTGCAATTTCCTTGTAAGGGTTTCCTTGGGTTAGACTGTGAGCTGGTAAGGAGCTTCTATTTTGAGGTCTAGATGGGATTACAAGATAGGTTTGTCTGGGGCAGATGGGGGGGGGTGTCATTTTGAGTCTGATGGAATTAGGCAAAGAGAGGAGTTCAAAAGTGGACTTAAATGTCTCTCACATGGAGTGTGAGAGAAAGAGTGCAGTCTCCATTTACTGAATTAGGATACATAGGTGAGCATTGGACATTAAAAGAATAGAAGGAACTAAAAATTAAAATTAAAGCAGAACGCTTAAACTCAACCTACAAATACAGAACCAGGCAAAATACAGTAATACTGAAGGATATTTTTGAACAATGAACCCAGAAACACTTAATTTTAAGTGTGTCTGTCTCTATAGATTGTGTTTATAAGGTGGTATGGAAGAGAAACAAGTTTTATTTGATAGATTGATTTTTTTTGGGGGGGGGGGAAATTGGAATTTGCTTTATTTGTATGCCGCCCTTTTCCCTGAGGGGATTTGAAAGTGGATTTAAAAATGACAATTTACACGAATGACAGGAAAAGTGTTACACTGTATGTATAAAAGAAAATTGCTGATGTCTTAATGATAGAAGTATATCAAGAATATGATAGATTTCTAGAAATTAGAAAGATCCTAATTTGAAAACACCAGTTTCCACTCTCTCCACCCTGATATCAACTGTTGAAAAATTCTTATTAAAAACTGAATATTTACAGATATAAATGTAAAAAAAAGTTTAAACATGTAAAATAAATATTCTCAAAATCTGTTTGTTATCGCTCTCTGGGGAATTTGGTTAAATATCCCTAACCAAATCCAAGGGGAAAAAAGAATAAAATATAAATGTCTATGGAGATTCTCATTCATCCAGGTCATAGTTGTTTCAAAGGTGCTTTTTCAAACATCCTAGCTGTCACAGTCCAGTTGCCTTTTGAAAAAGCACCTTTGAGTAAAAGTTAAAGTCTTTGTTCCCACAATTGTGGAAATTGTCAGCCAGCTATTGCCCTTGCAATTTGTAGCAATGTCTAAAAATTAGACCACGTGATTTTGTCAAAAATCCAGTGAATAGATTGGATCCCAAATTTTTATATTTAACATATTTTTCCTCCCCTTCAAAGTAATTCTGCATGACATATAAACTCTTTGGTTCCTGACAAACGTTTTTACATTCATTAAGGAAAGGCAACTTCCCTGCTCTCAAATAAATGAATAAATTTCCAATACAATCACAACAGCCAAATGCGGGCTATTCAAGAAACAGGACTTTCAGAAAAATTCTGGGGCTCTGAATGAGTTCCCACTCAATGTAAAATAATTACTAAATATATTTATTTCTCACTAAATGTAAAGTAACTAACATATATTTCTTGGGGAATCACAGTGACGTATCTGAGGGTCATTATAGCAACCAGGAAGACTGTAGGAACTTTTTAAAAACCAAGGAGCTACAACAGTTACATTGAGTACACAACTTGCATAGGAATGACCTTTTGTTGAATTCAATTCCTATTCCCTCAAAAGCCCCTAGAGGACTGAAAACGTAAACCCTGTGGTTATTTTAACCTGGCCTTCTCTGGAAGAGAGGTGGTAAAGGAGAGCCTGAGCAGCCCATCCCCTTCCTGCCATTCCTTAGCAGGGATAAAAGTGAAACCAGAGCAGAGAATGTTTGTGGTGCCCTTAGCAATCAAGGGTTCCGTTGCCCCAGTAACTGGAACACTTCATCAGCTCAGCTAACAGATGGCCAGTGAGCAACAGGCAGCATATGTTCCAATAAGCCCTGACATCAGCACAGATGGAGGGTGGGCAGGAGGCTGGCCTTGCAACATAACCTGACATTTCCTTCTCACTTGGTGCTGCATTGTTATAGCTCACACAGGAAGATTAGCAGGGAAAAGTGAATAGCATTAGAGAATCTGCTCAAGAACCAATTACTCACACTTCAGTGCAGTTTTAGATTTTTTACTTCACCAGAATGCAACATTGTTAACAACATTCAGCTGCACAAAAGGAAATGCAGTGGGTTTAACGGAAGGGCCTTTATCTTCATCCGTGGCAGGTTTTCCCAGGAACACTAATTAACAGGGAATGCCAAAACCTAGGTGTCTACCTTATCTATTTATTCTTTCTCTCACACGCTCTGTCTCTTGAAAGAAGATATAGATAGATAGATAGATAGATAGATAGATAGATAGATAGATAGATAGATAGATAGATAGATAGATAGAAGATAGAAGAGGGAGAGGAAGGGAGAGGGAGGGAGGGATAGAGAGACACAGAGACAGAGACATGATAGANTGAGATTCGAACTGCTAAATTGCAGGTAGCCAGCAGTTGGCAGAAGTAGCCTGCAGTACTGCACTATAACCATATTGATATTGACAGAAATATTTTGTATTCTTCAAACATTGAAGAAATGAAAAAACGTTCTAAAGAATATTGCAAATACTATTTATTTCTTTTAGAAAATGATAGTCCCTCAAAATGCTCAGAGTGATGTCTATTCTTGACTGATGTAATCTTTGTGTTTCAGTTCTTGCTATTTTAACTCATATGTAACTGAAAGCCTTCCCTTCACTCACAAAACATCTTAGAACTATAATGACATGAGTGTGTGTGTGTGGGGGGGAAACCTGGAAGGACAGATTGTAGATTTTATCATGGATAATGTGATCTATAGTCTGAGAAAAGGATGTTCATTTTTAGAGAGAGGAGGAGAAAGGGATTGAGGAAGTAACATAACAAACAAAAAAGCCAATATTCCACATATAGTTTCTCTCTTACCCAGCAAGTCTGTAGACCAAACCCTGGTCGGTGGACTTTCACCGGGCCGCAGCGTGCTAAAAATTGGGCCTTGCAAACAAGCAAAACCTCACCCCTGGTGTATAGTACGTGAAACCACACACCCTCTGGTCCGTGGAAAAACCTCTCTCCACAGACCAGTCCGTGGTGCCCAAAAGGTTGAGAGTCGCTGCTCTAGATCACCCTTCTCCATTCTGGGGCCACCTAAGTATACTGGTACTCCAACTCTTGGAATCATCATTATGGCCTTTGTTTCAAAAAGTAAGATAAATGTCTATCGAAAATATTACGGAGGGATAATCTGTCTTCAGAATGATTTGAGTGTGATAAAGTAGTTAGGAAGTCCCAGATGAATTCTACTAGTCTTCCAAGGAGTTTGAAGGCAGGTTAAGCTAAAAAGTTATACCCATTAAAAAGCCTTCCTAATGTTACTATAAAAAAATATTTTCACTAGTATCATTTTCTGCCATTGCACCTCTCTCTCAACCCATAAAGCAGCTAAGAAGTGTGTGTGTGAGTGTGTGTGTGTGAGATAGAGAGAGAGAGAGAGAGAGAGAGAGAAGACTTGATCAGCCCGTTGTTTAAAATGGTAAATCACACTTTTGTCATTTCAGCTGATAAATTAACAGATGCTCTAAGCTTGATGTTTTAAGAGGACTAATATAAGGCTGCCAACTACAGACAATTACAGAGCCAAATTGCAGACAATTAAGTGTGATATTTTAATTGTCCCATTGAAAAACTGAAGAAAACTCAAGCTTGAGAGTGGGAACCGCCTTTACTGCAATTCAGAGCTCACTTTCAAGTATGTCCAAGAACCATTCAACAGAGATTCTGGACAAAAAGCTTTACTGAACTGAGGAACAAATTAGGACAAGAGAAGGCAGGCAATTGGTGGGCTGGCTAGTGAAATTCCTTAAGAATTTGATACAAAACAAACACAGAATGTCTTTGCTTAAGCAGGGAAATCCTGCTGATATGTGAGAAAGAAAGATACGCTGGAATAAGATAACTGTTTTGATGTGGTTATTTCTGTCGTAGAAATGTTAGCTTTGCCTTATAATTAAATGAAATGAACCCCCTTCTTATTTACTCATTATTTTCACTGTACAAAAATCAATTGAACATTCTCAGGGGTTACAATCAAGAACTTGACTCATACTTGAACTTTAAAAAAAAGTGTAAATAAATAACTTTAAAAATGTAGCTTGGTACATATTTCAGTTTTGTGTAATTTTGTTTTTACCTGAGGGCTGAAATTCGGAGAAGGAACTAGTCTGTTGAGGCTCTCTCCACTGGCTTTCCCTGCACTGGGGCTGATAAGAATGAGATGGATTTCTGCTCAGAAGCCTCCGGTGAGAACCTCTGCCCCTTCCATGCTTCCCTAAAGAAAATATTGGACATAATACACTAAAGAAAAAGTTGCCCCATATTTATATATACAATGAAGTTTTTATAAATGAAACAGTTGGGATTCTGTTTTTAAGCTAGAATGGACAAAAAATGGAACATATAATTAAAAGTACATATGTGCTAGTCGTTTCCGACTCTAGGGGGCGGTGCTCATCTCTGTGGACATGTGGCCATCATAACTAAATGCCAAAGGTGCACGGACCGCTGTTATCTTCCCAACAAAGGTGGTTCCTATTTTTCTACTTGCATTTTTACATGTTTTTAAACTGCTAGGTTGGCAGAAGCTGGGACAAGTAATGGGAGCTCACTCCATTACGTGGCGCTAGGGATTCGAACTGCCAACCTTTCTAAATCGACAAGCTCAGCGTCTTAGCCTCTGAGCGACTGCGTCCCTTATAACATAAAACNTTTTTTTTTTTTTTTTTTTACAGTGGATGTAAATCAAATGCACTCTCCTAATTGGCAGTTTTTTGCCAGAAACCAGCAAAAAATCTGGAAACCAGCTTTAAACACCCCCCCCCCCCAAAATCATAGTCACATGACCATGGTAAACTGCACCCATTCTAAATGTGAGCCGGTTGTCAAGCACCCAAAATATGGTCACATGAACACTGGGGCGGGGAGGCAGCGCAACATTTTACGACAGCCAGAAATGCTCTGTAGGCCATAAGGCACCCTTTCCAAAGCTGTTGTGACTTTGAATGGTCATTAAACAATTGATAAGTTGAGGATTACAGGTAGTCCTCAACTTACAACCAGTTGGTTATTAAGCGAACCACTGCAGTTGTTAAATAATTTACTCAATGGTTAAGTGAATCCACTTTCCTCCACTGACCCTGCTTGTCAGAAGCTGGCTGGAAAGATTGCAGAGGACAATCTCATGACCCCAGGAGTCTGACTGCTGAAAATACAGGTAGTCCTCAACTTACAACCACAATGGAGCCCAAAATGTATGTTGTTAATTGAAATATTTGTTAAGTGAATTTGTCCCATTTTACAACTTTTCTTGCCACATTTGATAAGTGAATCCTTGCAGTTGTTAAATTAGTAACATGGTTGTTAAGTGACTCCGGTTTCCCTATTGACTTTGCTTGTCGGAATGTCGCAAAATGAGTCCTGAACTCTACAACCGTCGTGAAGATGAGTCGGTTGTCAAGCATCTGAACATAAATCATGTGACCATCAGGATGCTGCAATGGTCGTTAAGTGTGAACAATGGTAATACGTCACTCTTTTCAGTGCTGCTGTAACTCCAAAGTCACTAAATGACCTGTTGTAAGTCAAGGACTACCTGTATATGTGTTACCAATGCTGGAAGTTTGATCATGTGGCCTTGGGGACGCTGCAACAGTTGTACGAATGAAAACTGGTCGTAGGTCATTTTTCAGTGCTGCACTTGTATATTTGAGTTGTAGTTTTTTTTAAAAAAAACTATTTATTTAGAAAGAAAGCCTGTTGTCCATGGTGTAACAATGAGAACGTGNGTACGAATCTCCACGGGGAGCTCGTTCCAAAGGGTCGGAGCAACTACTGAAAAGGCCCTCCTCCTTGTAGTTGCCAGCTGGCACTGGCTGGCCGATGGAATTTGGAGGAGGCCCAATCTATGAGATCTAATTGGTCGCAGGGAGGTAATTGGCAGAAGGCGGTCTCTCAAGTATACTTTATGGTATGGATTTATGGTATTCTCAGCACTTGAGAGCTTTGCAAATCATAGATGTGGGTTGATATTTTTTTTAAAAAAAGGGAACTGGAAATTGGAATACTTGGTGGTGACCATAGCTACTTCTTAGAAACCCTGGCTTCCCATGGCAGCTTATAACGTAAATGTCAAATTATAAAACTATGTTAAAATATGTAAACTAACTGAAGATGAACCCATAATAATGAAATCAAAATAAAGACCAACTGTCCCTGACATAATTAGGTTGGCATTTCAACATTAAAAAAAAATGGCCTGAAGAACAGTGGCAATTAAAATAAAAGCCACAAAAATAACAACACAAAGAGCTGATCCTGAAAGTTATGTTGAAGTTCTGAATAAGTAAAAATGAGTATTTTCACATAGATTCATGGAAAAATAAAACAAAATAGGTGTGATAGAAAGGTAAGGATTTTTATAGGAATATTTCAGATGGTAAGCTATAATTATCCTGAAATTAAAAAGATCTAGTACAGAAACAATTCCTAAGAACTTCTTTATCATATTCTCAATTTATCTAGACCAAATACTCTCCACTTACCTTCAATTAAATCTACAGTATTTGAAAACTGTAGTTTATTTAATTAATTTAAAGTGCTGTTTTTGTACGAGTGACATCAAGTTAAAATTCCCATTTTGCAAATATGTCCACAAGGACAACTACTAAGTACAGACCATACTGACATGGACACAGATAGTAGACACAACTTGCATTTGAATCTATTTGATTCCTGGATATTGCATCCATCCTAGGTGCTTTCTGGGTATGTTAATGTATAGACATGTAAGTGATTGTATTTATAAATAGCATAGCTATTTTCTGAGCGACTTGGCAGGAAAAAAAATGAAACTACTTCTACAAGATCAGTTATGTATGACTGACAGTTGCAAAAACAGGAAAAAAAAAAACCCGTATTATTTTCTGTATTCGATCCAAAAATCCCATTGGTTTCAAAGCTTCCTTTTTCCTGATGTCTATGTTCACAAGTCACATAAACCATTTTTTTTACAATAATAAAGAAAATAATTCCTGCCTATTCTTTCCCATGCTTGAGTCACAAGACGTTCTGGACAAACTTTGATTGTTTTATTATCCAAACCCAACAAACCATGGTTAAACTTAACCACAGTAAAGCTATTCTTTGACTTATGACTGCAATTGGGACTAGAATTTGGATAGAAGTTGTAGTAGTTGTAACTTGAGGTACTGGTGACCAATTTTTGACAGGTTTTTTTTTTTTTTTTTTTTTTACAGTGGATGTAAATCAAATGCACTCTCCTAATTGGCAGTTTTTTGCCAGAAACCAGCAAAAAATCTGGAAACCAGCTTTAAACACCCCCCCCCCCCAAAATCATAGTCACATGACCATGGTAAACTGCACCCATTCTAAATGTGAGCCGGTTGTCAAGCACCCAAAATATGGTCACATGAACACTGGGGCGGGGAGGCAGCGCAACATTTTACGACAGCCAGAAATGCTCTGTAGGCCATAAGGCACCCTTTCCAAAGCTGTTGTGACTTTGAATGGTCATTAAACAATTGATAAGTTGAGGATTACAGGTAGTCCTCAACTTACAACCAGTTGGTTATTAAGCGAACCACTGCAGTTGTTAAATAATTTACTCAATGGTTAAGTGAATCCACTTTCCTCCACTGACCCTGCTTGTCAGAAGCTGGCTGGAAAGATTGCAGAGGACAATCTCATGACCCCAGGAGTCTGACTGCTGAAAATACAGGTAGTCCTCAACTTACAACCAGTTGGTTATTAAGCGAACCACTGCAGTTGTTAAATAATTTACTCAATGGTTAAGTGAATCCACTTTCCTCCACTGACCCTGCTTGTCAGAAGCTGGCTGGAAAGATTGCAGAGGACAATCTCATGACCCCAGGAGTCTGACTGCTGAAAATACAGGTAGTCCTCAACTTACAACCACAATGGAGCCCAAAATGTATGTTGTTAATTGAAATATTTGTTAAGTGAATTTGTCCCATTTTACAACTTTTCTTGCCACATTTGATAAGTGAATCCTTGCAGTTGTTAAATTAGTAACATGGTTGTTAAGTGACTCCGGTTTCCCTATTGACTTTGCTTGTCGGAATGTCGCAAAATGAGTCCTGAACTCTACAACCGTCGTGAAGATGAGTCGGTTGTCAAGCATCTGAACATAAATCATGTGACCATCAGGATGCTGCAATGGTCGTTAAGTGTGAACAATGGTAATACGTCACTCTTTTCAGTGCTGCTGTAACTCCAAAGTCACTAAATGACCTGTTGTAAGTCAAGGACTACCTGTATATGTGTTACCAATGCTGGAAGTTTGATCATGTGGCCTTGGGGACGCTGCAACAGTTGTACGAATGAAAACTGGTCGTAGGTCATTTTTCAGTGCTGCACTTGTATATTTGAGTTGTAGTTTTTTTTAAAAAAAACTATTTATTTAGAAAGAAAGCCTGTTGTCCATGGTGTAACAATGAGAACGTGCAACTTTTTTTTAAATTGAAAATTTTATATTTTACAAATATATACCTCTCCCAAGGCCAACTCCCCCCCAATCCCGCCCCCCCCCAGCCTCCCAGAGCAAATATAGGGTATAAACATTAACATTAACATATTCTAAGATAAGCTAACAGACTTCAGCATCATCCCT